GAATCCACCTACTTTTATTATCTTATTTTTATTGCGAAATAGCATTAAACTGTCAAATTGCGTGAGATATGCAACTTATTTTATGGATATTTAAATTCAAATGTAGTGAGAGTAGTTATAAAGTATATACTGTAGTAAGGGAAAAGAAATAGAAATGTGTTGAATGTTTATCTGGAGAAACATGCTGTTGTCTTCGCCAATGTAATATCATGTTATTGCCTTAATAATACTCTTAACAATAACAACATACTCTTATCAACAAAGTATACAGGTTTATACATACGCAAATGGAAAGGATAAGATTCAGAAATAAACAAGGAATTATATACAAAATATCAAAACAATATATTTATCTTGCATAAAGTCAATTTTGTTTCCAGAATGGGATGTGATCGAAAACAAAAAAAACAAAATTGATTTCAATATAACTAATGATGTTATTAATCGCGCACGCTTGTTCAATTAAATGATCACTTTTCACGATATAATTATTCATCAAATATCTAACATACTACTAAACACTAATCAGTGCCATTACTCGCTTTATACACTAAATCGGCCTAAAATTAGTTCCCAATTATTCCTGATAGCTACGTAAAAAGCCCGCATAAAACGGCATGTTAAATGTGTATACTGGGAGGCGGTATGACGGAAATCAGACAACCCTTCTAAGTTAATTATACACTGATTAACCTTAGTTAATGAGTTCTCGAAATTGAGTGGAAAATGAACATACAATTTCATACTGGTTAAGTCTTCCTAGTGGCGTTGGTATAGTCAACTTAATGAAATATTCAACAGAAATGTCTTTTACAGTAACAATTTATCAATACAGACGAATTCAATAAATTCAGAATTCTATATTCAAAAACATCGTTGTTTGATTTTTGTGACATAAATATCATTTTATGTGAAGAATCATTTTATAAAACTGTCATGAATTAAAAATATGTATAAACGACAAATGAAGTTAACATATCTTTGTGCCTTAATATTAAGGAGCTAGGATGCATTAACTGATCAACATCCAACACGATGCATGCTGAAGTTTTAAATGTCACGTATTTTGTCCTCGATAGCATGTGTGAGTCATTATGATATAAAAGAAATATCAAACACAATTATTTCCAACAAGTGGTGTATACATCTATGATAGTCTCCACAATTCTCGGCTTCCATGATGCCTATCAATTTTGGCAGCGTACAAGCTGGACGCATTTCTATGCCTTGTTTCGTAATCGGACATGCACGTATGAAATTGCGACAGTTTTGAAATAATTTATTGAAATAGAAATCGTTGTTTATGCTAAGTGAAACAAGAAACTAAAATTTTAAAAGAAATGAAAATTTGAGAAAAAATACGTGAAGAGAACACCGAATAGGGAACGTTATTGTGCTATTTCATAACATAACATAGACTACTTTACCATGATTTACATGACAGATGAGGCAGGGGACGTTTAGTCTTCCGTAACACCTGATATTATTCTCTTTGCATTTTTCAGGGGTCATCGTACAAGTACTTTCCTTGCTCATGTTGTCTCTGTTCCATTCAACTTGAGTTTGAATTACGATGTCATTATGTCGTTGTTTCTGAACATGAGTAATGACCATTAACCGAAAATATGAAAAACGCCAGGCCTAGCGGCCTTGACGGTCACCTGAGGTAAGCAATAAATATAAAGGTTATAAGGTACATTGTAAGTGGCTTTCCAGCGTCACGCACAGAAATTGTGACAATGATGAGAGTAAGACTCAAATGATCTGTTTAAGCACTTAGTGTCAACCAGTGTCAATATATACATACCATCCTAACTGTAATCCGAATCTAATAATTCTTGTCAAGTTATTTCCAATGGAAAAATAAACATTATTCTCAAAAATGCAATTTTCCTATACTAACAATAGTAAACATCATTCCCTCCACATGGGGCTATGTGAGGCCCTACGACTTTGTCTCATATAACCTATAAATTCAAATACAGCGTATGTAACAATGTTTTTCACACCTGTAATATGCAAGTACAGCGTATGTAACAATGTTTTTCACACCTGTAATATGCAAGTACAGCGTATGTAACAATGTTTTTCACACCTGTAATATGCAAGTACAGCGTATGTAACAATGTTTTTCACACCTGTAATATGCAAGTACAGCGTATGTAACAATGTTTTTCACACCTGTAATATGCAAATACAGCGTATGTAACAATGTTTTTCACACCTGTAATATGCAAGTACAGCGTATGTAACAATGTTTTTCACACCTGTAATATGCAAATACAGCGTATGTAACAATGTTTTTCACACCTGTAATATGCAATTACAGCGTATGTAACAATGTTTTTCACACCTGTAATATGCAAGTACAGCGTATGTAACAATGTATTTTGCACCTGTAATATGCAAGTACAGCGTATGTAACAATGCATTTTGCACCTGTAATATGCAAGTACAGCGTATGTAACAATGCATTTTGCACCTGTAATATGCAAGTACAGCGTATGTAACAATGCATTTTGCACCTGTAATATGCAAGTACAGCGTATGTAACAATGCATTTTGCACCTGTAATATGCAAGTACAGCGTATGTAACAATGCATTTTGCACCTGTAATATGCAAGTACAGCGTATGTAACAATGCATTTTGCACCTGTAATATGCAAGTACAGCGTATGTAACAATGTATTTTGCACCTGTAATATGCAAGTACAGCGTATGTAACAATGTATTTTGCACCTGTAATATGCAAGTACAGCGTATGTAACAATGTATTTTGCACCTGTAATATGCAAGTACAGCGTATGTAACAATGTATTTTGCACCTGTAATATGCAAGTACAGCGTATGTAACAATGTATTTTGCACCTGTAATATGCAAGTACAGCGTATGTAACAATGTATTTTGCACCTGTAATATGCAAGTACAGCGTGTGTAACAATGTATTTTGCACCTGTAATATGCAAGTACAGCGTGTGTAACAATGTATTTTGCACCTGTAATATGCAAGTACAGCGTATGTAACAATGTATTTTGCACCTGTAATACGCAAGTACAGCGTATGTAACAATGTATTTTGCACCTTTTATATTTAAATACATCGTATGTTACATGATTTACACTTATAATATTCATATAAAGCGTATGTAACTATGTTTTTACAACGTAAAAAACATGCATAATCATTACCGATGTGCACCATATCTAAACTCTGTTTACTTTTTATTAGGTTTACCGCCTAGTGAACAGCCACAGGTCAAGCGTACGTTATCCAGACCAATAAGGATGAAGTTTCTTAACAAAGAATAACACCACTTCAGCACAGGATGGTTCATATCAACCTCCTGAGAATCATTAACAGCCTCGGATACTTCACAAGAGTTCGGACTGAACTAAAACAACCACAATGTAAACTTCCTTGAAATAAAGGAAATACGATTTTAAAAATCAATTCTAGTAATGTTAAGTATTCGATAGGGAACAATGTGTTACAAGAACGAAACAAGTTCACATATCGTAAAATATAACACGAGATACCGGCCATATGAATATCCAACAACATTTGACATCCATTGGAAAGGTGAACTCGCAACTGTTGTGATATATGAAGTATTAAAGTAATAAGGGATTTATTTCTAAAAATAAATGATTACCCAAAAGCATAGATATTTGTTAGCCTTAAATACTTACTAAATAAACACTAATATACAAAATTGTATCATGCCTTCAACAAATACATCTTCAGTACCCAAGGATTCATTTCGTATACACTCGTTAGGAGACGAACATTTGGCTAGCGAAGATGTAATAATAGTGACTTAGAACTATTTCGGTAGGCTTTAGCCTGTTTCCCAATTGAATTTGTTCAGTAAAATCTTTGTGTAATGAAACAAAAACAGAATTATATATACATGTATTGCCTTTACCGTATAACTTAATAAACAACGACAAAATACCCCATGCTATGTATAATCCCATCAGTTGTAAACACAATTAAAGGACAGTGATTGGTCGATACAATAATTATCTAGGAAGTAGTTATAACTGCCGATTGTCCGGTAGGATATTTTACCAGCCATTGTACATCATAAATTACCGAGACATAACAGGGCTAGTATAATGGAACCAATTCATCGTTACTTAACACAGGGCTATTAGAGCCAGCGGAAGGTCCGCCCCGAGCCGTGTCAGATTAAATAGGCCCATCAGACTTGTTCTATTTGTAATAATGAGAGTTGCGTTCATTTAAAGATTATACCGAATCATAAAACTATCGTTCAATTTAAAGACCTATAACTGAAGCACAATGTGCACACCTCTTAAAACCTAACAAAATCATTTTCCGTTATTAGTAATTACTTTTTTTCTCCAGCGCAACAAGATAATTTTGAACACAACATAAATACGTCACTTGAAGATCTCGCTCTTGTTGCGTCTTCTGTCCCTACCTGTCCTCAGTTCTTATTTAGCTTCTCTGCGATAGTTTTTTTCCTGATTGGTACTAAAAGATATACTAAGGGGGTTCAGTGTATGCGTCATCCTAGTTAAACGCTCATTGTAGCAATTTGTGTTGTAAGTTATTTTGTCAACCCAACTACCCGACGATTCCTTCTCTCACGAGTTTTTGTTGAAATTTTCATAAATCAGCAAAGAAAAAATATCACAGGAAATAAGTATTATACAGTATAATGTCTGTTAGTGATATCTGATTTCTGATAACACGTGTCATAATTACAACAGCTACTACATTCTAAGGCCCGATACTATTAGGTTCGTCCCATTTATCTATGTCACTTAAATCGAAGTTTAAGAGATTTTGTATTGAGAATGAACATGTAATACACATCCTAGAATGAATGGAGATAGTTTCATATTAACAATGACAATGTTACGCTCGTCTTAACAAGTTCCCAGATGGAGCAGGAAATACATTTTCAAATAGTTTTATGTAATATACATAGCAGCTGTCATTTATCGATAAAACAAAAAACAAAGACATTTCAGAGAGTTCTTCGCTTTCCATCGGTTCTTTTTTTTTATTTGGTTTAATTATTTTCGAAGGTACATTTCCTATTAAAAGCATGTTTTGTGATATAGTCAATTAATTGACATTAACGAAAATATATCTCGAGATGAAGCATGCTGATGAACACAAATCATGAAAACACAAAAATACTTCTTTTTGTCAATTATTACAAATTAGTAAAAAAAAACCGGTATAAATAATAATTAACCAAACAGGCAGATTAACATTGCAGGATAAGACATCTATCTAAAACAATATCACAAATGTTGAGGCTTTCATCACATACACGGTCTATAGAACACATTGACAACGACCCATCACATAATGGTCTACACTAACGGTAGAGACATAAAAAAAGAACCAGTATATTCCGATTCGTGGACAAATTCTTCAAAAATAGGAATGGATTAAACACAATCTAAGTAAACGTGTTTGTATTAGACATGGTATGAACTCATAATTTGACCCTAGAAGTTATCTCACCAGGGTATAATGTAGTGATGATTTCAACAGTTTTTTTTGTACACGTTTTTCATACCATGTCTGAACCACATATCAACTCTCAGTTTCAGATATTAATTAAAATCGCAGCTTGCGGCATTTCTTTTGGTACTTTACAAATAAAACAAATCGATATTTGAAAACTTTGAAAAACATCGAATTAATTTTAAAACTTATAAGACGACCATATAATACAAAAACGATCTTTGGTGCACTAAATTTCTGTTCCATTTTGGATGTAATGCCAGATTCCTCTATAAAACCTTAAATATATCTCATTGAAATATACCACATTTGATATCATGATGACAAGCAATTATTAGAGATGGACGATACATTATAACACAAGGAAGATTTTAAAACTTTACATTTTTCAAAAGTTCTGAAGAGTATTGATAGACCACACATAAAACACTCAATGTATTTGCTCAATAGACCCATTCCAAAAGCCTTTAAGATGAAACCTGTCGTGTCAAAATATAATATTCGCACAATTTGCTTCTTACTAACAAAAGCACGAGAAAATACCAAAATTCAAATTATAATGTACAGCGTATCCAGAGTTCAATTTGTGGGACATACAATATCCGTGTCAAACTGTGGTATATACATTATCCGAGTTCAATGTGACCAAAAATACATATTTCTGTGGTTACTTTAGTATCAGTATGTGCAAAGTAAAAGTATAACTGATATCATCCATTTCCATATCATTATATTTTCAAACTGCTTTACTGCATTTCGCATTACTAGTTGTATTCGGTAACAACGGATGAGTATAACAGATATTTCCAGTTGCCATAACAACCAACAAATCCCGTCTTCTAAATTCATTATAAATTTGGCATATGCAAGGACCAGGGTTGTGGCGTACATTTCAACCACAGTGATGAGTAAAGAATATCCTTATTTCTTACATCATATGTTGTTGATCATGCCTGTTCACTTATTTATATTGAATTATTTGGAGTATTGTGAAAATGTATTTTATCGCCATAATTATACCCTTCTCTAAATGACGGCTTTACAAGGTGTACATAAGACGAACGCGGATAACACAAAATGGAAACTTAAGTATTCAAAAATGGTTTTGATATGCTCCGACACAAAAATGTATTTCGCCAAGTTTTGTAAATAACATAAATTAACTTACATCATGTATATATATACATACACTCATAATATATGATGATACAGCGATCCTTTGTGATATTCTAAAGAGTACAATGTTTTCAAGTTGATTTCGATGTGGACGATAACAGAAAACCCAAAGCCGATAATGAGAGGGACTAGTAAGCTAGCACTATAACTGTACTTTAGAGATCTGTAGACCACTGAGACAATTCAGTTCCGAGTTATAATTACAGTACACCTCTACAACATACTTAGAATATTTAATGACAAAGGCTAATGTACATTATTCTTATTTAGTTTTGCATATTTCTAATCTTTGACCTTTCTGATATAAAGATAACAGGAGTCACGGGAGAGTATGATATTGAACTGACAAGCCTTGATTAAAGTTAAGCCTTATATAATCTGGAAAGAACAGGTATAGGTGTTAAGCTTGTTCAATTTTGCTAACTGACAAATTGTAACAGGTTTTGTTACGAGACATATATAGACACACATAAAGTACTAACAAAATGCCAGCGAAATTCGTTGGTTTCAAAATCTATAAACCACCTGCTTCCGAAAGATATCAAATAACTGAATGTATAATTTTGTAATTTTGCCTTTATGTATTAACTGCAAACATTCAAAACCAACCTGACCCTGTGCTTTGATATTTATTTACCCTTGAGTCACCAAGTCCTAACGGGACACATTTGAATTTACAGTACTTGTGATGAATAAGCTATACAAGCTTTTGCCACTACAGTATCAAACATATCGAAGATATACTTGATTTACTGATGACATCTCGAATGAAAGCTATCTTGACTGCCTGCAGTCAAAGTAAAATATTTGTTATAAATATCTGTACATCTTATAGAACTGCATGCAATTTAAAAAGATACATATTGTACAAGATGTCAGATGTAAATATTCCAGTAAACAAGTTTTATACTAAAATCTTTACAATATGTTGTTCTTGATAACCTACTTCTAAAACACAAACGTTTTCGTAGTTTTAGTAATGTTTTATTGGTATCAAAAAAGTTTCTGAATGCCAAAAATGGGGTAATCTGTTTTTGATAGGATTTTTCATTCCATTTTTCGTATCATATGAAGTATTTTTACATTGACTTTTCTGGCATCAACCTAAATCATCACTATATTGTATCTGTATTGACTACCATGTCAGAGCTACTATTTACATTGTATTTCTTCCTGCTATATACATGATCTATTACTCTTATATTTCTCCGCTCTGGTACATATATTCTTTGCTCTTATTCGTTCATATATCCATCAAATTATGTTTTATCTCAAATAATCTCGATCGTATAATGAAATGTCTTCCCTTTAAAATACATCTAGAATATTTCTTCATACATACAATCCTTGAAATTCCGATTTCTACTTTGTAGGCTATAATAAATACAACTTAATTGTGTTACAATTTGCTGGCAATTCTGGACAAAATACATGCAGAAGTATCTCACTAGGTTAAACACTACAAAAGGCAGGCTTAGCATACATAAAAACACCCTGATTGATTTGATAAATAAAACTCTACTAGATATGAAGCAGGTAATTAAACCTAGTTACCATATAAAGATCAGAGAGTCTAAGCGAAGATCAGGAGAAACCCTCCTGTAAAACACGGGACAATGGAGAAGAAATGACCATTACTTAGGTCAAAAAAATATCACAAAAGTATGTATGGTCATTGTTTAACCTGTAGTGTCGCACCAGACACATGGTCATCCTTGATAGAGCTGCATCATTGCCAGCAAGACGTATCGGCCATTGACTAGATCGGTACGTCAAATGCGAGACCATATAAGGCATTTAAAAACGTCACTTTTTACCAATCATGAAAAAGTAGTTGATAATCTTCATCTTGCCTCGTTCATTCTTCTTAATTTTGACTTTCAATGTCACACAACAATATTTAGGTAAATACTACCATTGCGTGACAGATTAAGAAGACATACAAGATGTTTAAGTTACCATGGTATGTATTGCCAATCATGACAAAATCAAAGTGGATGTCACCAATTGCAGGCCATCAGGTCACAGCATCTTTGCCTGAAGGTCACACTTCAACCTAGGGTTGAAGTGGAATAGGTAATCTTACTTACCAAATAAGGTAATACTACCGAATATAGCCATAGTACTACTATGTCTTTTTACCAAATTTGTTGGTAAAGTCAAATATGACTAGACTATATTTTTCATTCGAACGTGGTAGTTTTAACCAAATATGGTTGGTCATACGAAATACGGTACTTGTATGAAAGGTTTGACCGAATGAGATTGGCTTAATCTGGCCTTGAGCCTATGTTAACAAATTGGCTCCCCAAATACAAAAAGAGACAATGAATAACGATAGGCAATATCGATACATGCTTTCCGTATTTGTTTTTGATGTCAATTAGCACACAGCCAACTGACTCTCTTTAGAATCTAACTATATTTGTCTTGGAATTCAGGGACACTGTCAGACATTGGAAGACCTGGGATTGATTGTTATGGCAACGAGAGCAGATATGGTTGTGGCTACCCTTGAGATCCCTTTCTCTTCCAAAATATCTTGTGCAGCACAAATTTGATCCTGGAAAGACAAAAATATCATAATAATAAATAACTAGCACACCTATTTCCACAAATATGGAAACGACCATCCTCAGCATAGACTGATATTTTTGTCTCACGAAATAAGATGCATAATGTATTTTTGTTTTTGTTTTTCCAAGCAGGTCATTAAAAAAACAACCACAATAATTGTTTCTTGTGTTACAACACGAATTTGTGTCCGATAAAAATCTGATAAACGATAAAAAAAGTGAGACAAAAATCAAGGAAAACACTATGCAAACATAAAAAATATCATCAAAACAAAACTAATAAAATAATGTTGATTTCTGTCCTAAACAAAATTGACAAAAAATTAACAATTGAGACAACAGTCAAGGAAAAAATTATCTTTCAGAACATCAAACACTGAATCACCAACACAATTATGTTGATAGCCTTTTTAACAAACCTAAATTTTGACAATTAATATAACCTCCAGGTCCAAATTCCAAACATATGCATTATGATAGCAGTTTTGATTTTTTATTATAAAATAATGAAAGTATGACAACCATTAGAATCAAAACTGAATCACTGCATTTATATATTCCTTTGGCGTCCAGAATCATTCACTTGTTTTATATTTTCAAACCGAATCTTTTCTCCTCATTTTCTGTAATTTTCTAAAATTGCTAAAAGCAGCATATTTTGGAAAAGTATATAACAAATAACAATATGCAAATTAACCAACATTAATTAACAGTACAAAAAAACAAGCAAAACAAGTGGATAACAATGAATGTTCATGAGCAACCAAGTTACTAATTAAGCAACAATGAATATTCAATACAGTAACAAACTTTATACATATCAATTTCTCTACCAGCAGAGATTAAGTCAAATGATTCTTTCAGTATATCTAAATCAAATCATCTTTATTCTAAAGATCTAAATATTTTCTCAGGTTTGTTTTCCTCATGAAATCCATGATTCATTAAAATACAAAATTAAACACAAAAGTAAGATATTAGACAAAATATTAAGTATTCATTATGGAGATAACTCTTTTGACATAGCCATTTGGATATTGAACATGCTGTATCCTACTTATAAACATTGATGTAAAAACTGTATATAGTTTAATTAAGTCTCTAGCCCATTGCTGAAGCATTTACTGTTAACTGAAAAGTCCTTATATTCATTTTTGAAAATGATTTACTGTGAACCTCGCTGAAAATATATTTGTACAGATAACATCAACAGCCTCTTTAATTCTGTGATATTGATCTTTTACCCAAAAAACAATTCTCATGTCTGGTATTTGTCAATAATTCTAATCAAAACCTACATTTATAGAAAATCAGAATCATTAAAGATGGACAGGTAATAGTATCTTTATTTTTTTCCAAACCTTTTTATTTGCATCAAAACAAGGTTTATTATTATAATAGACAATGAAACAGTGGGACCAACATATATATATCTCTAGTATATGAGAGTAAAGCAATGCTCTGCTTCATAATACCATTTTCAACATCTTAATAATCTGGGTATCTTTAACAATATCTGATATTGAAATATCAGATCTTGAAAGAGATAAGAGATTTAAGAAATTTTCTAGTAAGATTCAAAGACGCTGACATCAAAGCTCCACCTCAAAGAATCTTTTTTATTTTCATTCCTGGAATGAATTTCAAAATATTCAACACTAATATTTGTTCATCAAACAAAATATTCAATATTGTGAAAATATTTACAAACCACACATGTAAATAGCACCTCAGGATACTAACTGATTAAGGAATACAGTATTTGCTGAAAGTTCCATTATATGTCTATATCCTCTTAAAACTCTTCAGTTATGCTATGAGAGTTGAAAGTTTGCAAATTCAGAAAGAAAATATCTAGATTGATTCAGCTAGATCATTTTTGACATTGAATTAAGTAGTTTGAATCATAAATATACCTGATGGAGAAATCTATCAATTAATCTTGGTCAGAAATCAACAGAAGTATCACAAAAGATAGGACATAATTGTTATGGACTATAATACACAATTTTACAGACACATGAATGCTAAGGATGTTGAATACATACATTCATGAAAGACAACCGATTGCACCAAAAATCAATGTGAAATAAAAGAAAAATGTTCTTGTAAATAACCACATTCAGTAATTACAATTCATAACCAAGATGACAACTTTAGTCCCATTATACATAAAACGGAACCAAATAGAGTATACATGATTCACAACATTAAGTATAATGCACAATTCTTATTTAATTTTTCCTCATCTTAATATCAAAGCAAATATAACTTCCTTTTTTATAAAACCAATACAGGTAAGGTTTCTATTGCAATTACTTGTAAGTATTTACATTCTGATACATGTATAATGTTCCTTATATCATACACAAGGGCACTGTACAAAAACTTATCGCAGTCATTAGCCATATTACTCTCTGGTGCAAACACCAAATCAAATACATACATGGTACAGTCGTAATTAGCCTTTTACAGTATATATACATATAGCAGAGAAAGAAGTGTCTGTGGCACCTAAACAATAAACTGTCTTTACATTGCATTTACAGCCCTTATAAATGACACAACTTATAAGCCAAAAAGACAGTTTCATCCTTACATTAAGATCGTCTGTACTTCGATATCATATCTTGTATTAAACTAATCAAATCTGGAACAGCCATTTTTATAGCATGAACAATAATGACACTTTAATACATGATAGATGCCAGTAACAATTCTTAATCAACATTCTTTCTGCTAGTTTATATAGCAGCATTGCTGTGACAAGCGTGAACATTACAGATCTGTCACCATCTCTATGGTCTACTGCCATACACAGCTACATTTCTACTAACCAGGGGGTATTTTATCATATACATATCTTTGGTAAAATGTTACAAGAACACATGTACAAAATATTTTGTCATTATTTCTATATGTACAATATTTACATCATTATCACTTTTTTTTATTTACAAATCTTTGTATATGCACATTTTCAATATACCTCACGTTAATCACATAACCAACTTAACTTGTCAACTTGACAATACCACTCTCGCTCAAATATGATTGTTCCAAATACTTGTTCAGCAGAATTTTCCTTTTCCATTATAATATACCATTTTTAATCTTATAAGCACTTTCATTCCTAATTAAACATTTCCTCCATAACTTTTCACTTATTTTTTATACTATGTACCAGGTATATTAAAAAAATAGCTTGTATGTACATATGTTTCAGTTTAATGTTAGTGTTCAGGACTGATGTAAACATCCATCCTAACGTCATCCACCTCTGCTGTATGTTAAATATGCTGAATTCAATATTGTGCATTAATGCACAGATAAATCATGATAATTTACAGATAAATTAAAATTTATCTCGGTAAGCTGTTACTTTGATGGGCCTAGATAAGTGCACAAACATATTATTTTACATAACATACCAGCATAAGTAGTGCCCATCCTCCTAATAAAGCCTATCAACATAATGAAACATGTCTCAGACTGCTACGCAGCAACATCATCAAAAAACATTTTTGTAAGTAACAAGTGTATTTATCTAAAGTGTTACACATATCATGTTTATATATATATATATCTAACATCCAACCAAGTCATACTGGAATGTGTTTCTCCGTTTCTAAACTATGTACAGACATTTGGTCAGGAGAACTTTTATATACAGCGTTATGCTTTTCGGTTCACATTTCAAGTGCAAGGTCATGTTATCAATACCCTTATTACCATAAATTTTTATACATTAGTCTTGTAATTAAATGAATCATACATGTTGGCATCTCAATTGGATGGACCCAGTGTAATGACTCTCCCTATGTATTACATCATGTTTGCATATCAATAACTTGTGCTTCGTTAGTCCAAGTAAATGTTGGTCTCTGCATCGGTGAAAATTTACTCTCAAATGGTTTGACAGACAAATTTGGTTTTAGGGTATGAACAGATTAGCAGACAGTAAACGTTGGCAGAATGAATTTGGAGTTAGTAGTAATAATAAACATAACATAAGCATGGTTTATATTCTAATCTTGCTTGTTATTTGTAAACTGGCACCATCATTATATATTTTATCATACAGTAAAATTTAATTTATTTCTCTGTCCTTAAATGATCTGTGCCATTAAGATGTTACTACCAATACAAATCAAACATTCTATATCACAACTACTCAAAATCTGAACATTCCACTACAATGACTAATACCAACAGATTATCTGCAACCTAGTAATACTCCAGATATTTCATAATCCAGCCACTTGTAGCTGCAGACAAGTTGACAGGGTTTAACAGGGATCTATGCAAGTCTATCTGGTTACAGATCAAACACACAATAATCACCAATAAATAAAAGACTGTAACACTGTGAATCTAAGTGGTATTAAGCAATAACAGTATTTGAAATCATATTTCAGTAACGAAGCCAAGTTACCTTGTAGAAAGGTGAGGCAAGTTTTCTGTCATAATGTCACAAGGGCCAGTTCGACTCGTGCTAAGAAATGTTATCATTTATTAGATATTAATACCTCATGTTTTACAGATTTCTTCCACTGTTACCAAGACTAATATTGCAATACTTTATACCACATCCATATTCATGCCATTTATATTTTTCATATTTTCCTATCAAAACCACAATAATATTTTATTATCCTGGTAAAATACTAGCTTCTTCAAGATAACTCAGAGTTTCTCTTTGCCTCACTAGGTGGAGATTTAGTCTAATACTGTGTAACTTAGGGATCAGAATTTGATCTCAAACATCACTATTAAAATATGAACAAAAACGGTGGAATGCTACAACTAGGGAATGAAAATTGTTACCCAATAGCTAAGTTTGTTTACTGCTATACCCAGGTTTTGATAAATAAACACTCTTCTCTTTACTACTACTATAAACATCAACATCAACACAAAATGTAAATAAAATAAAACTTAAATATCAAACAATGAGAATATTAGAGATATATTTTCCTACAAAACT